TCGACGAGAAAAGCGACATGTTGCCAGGCTTGCATCCGAGTTTCGATATCTCTGTGGATCCGCTTGAGAGGGCAGCGGCTCCTCCAGCAAGCTTGCGAAGCTGTCTGAAGTTGGTATGCCACCTTCAGTAACAATGAATGTTACGGTGTCCCCTTGTCAGAATGCTTCGCCTATGCGTGTCTCGCCTGGCGCACCCAGCGAGTCAGCAGCTCTGGATCGTAAAGGCTTCCCAGATAACCCGTGCGCTCACCTTGGGCGCCGGCAATGCGACCCATTTCGAACTGAGGATGTTTACTACTGAAGCTGTGAGGGAAGCTGGAGCACAACTACTGAGCAGGTTAGGCTTTAAAGATCCAATCTTCTATTCCTCAATACCGAGAGCAAATGCCATAAGCATTCAAGAAAAATCGCAGCTCCACCTGTGCAAGGAGCTGTTCTGTTTCTTGCAGAATTAGGCACAAGGTTGCTGCAGCCGCAAACTGACAGAATGCATTTTGCAGCCTCAAACCATAACTGCCAGGTTAAGGCGTACAAAACTTCCCTGAAGCCTGAGCACCAACACTAAATCCTTCAACAGCCGAAAACGTCCTTAAACCCCTATACTAGAATCCCAAACACCTAGACTAACCTATACCCTAAAAGCGCAACAGCCCGATGCTGCACTAGAAAAGTTTGAAGCCCTACAGTAGAAACTTCACCATCGACACCCCAATCCCCGAAGCCTTGTCGTAAAAGTCCTTTCCAAACCCTCAGCCCCGCGGCTGCGCCTCGATAGATCTTTTGTGTCTTGTGCGCGACTAGCGGACTGTACCTCACAGCATGTGCTCCCAGTAGCTTCATTCAGGGGTTGAAGGCTCTACCGGCAGGTTGGGGCTTTCAGGATTAGGGTTTCAGAGTTTTAGGGCTTGGGCTTATTTGGGCTTTCGGGCTTGTGGCTAAGGGTGGTTCTTTCGCATCTTTTGGCTTGTTTGCCCAGCTGAAGCGGCCTTACTAGGAAGGTGCAGGATCTTTTGCCAAGCTACTATGTGCAGCGGAGAGTACAGGTTTGATGCAATGCTATGCCGTCGTAGAGTATGCCCAATTGCAAATGCAGCATACGGTCGGCATGATACTCATGAATACGAACAGACTGAGACTATCTATGACTCATCCATATAACATACCATGGAGCCGGATCAGACTTCTAACTTAAGTCAAGTTAACTCTGGTTCTTCAACGGAACCTTCAAGACCACAAATTGCCGGAAGCTCGCAAGTACTCAGACCTCACACCCGCGAAACGGTCATGCACAGCTCTGGACCTTTCGTGGGGCAGGCTGCCGGCTTGATGACTTCGATTTGCTTCTGTCATCTGACATGGACGGCGCAGTGCAAGCCCGGCTGCAGCACCATGTCTCCGAGTGAAAGATCTGGTGTCTCTGACATGGCCTTTGGAAGCAGCAAAGGGGGGGTTCCTAATGCTTGTTGATGCCGAGCTACGCGGGGCATCGAACGAGCTCAGGAAACCGCAAACAGACTTGGTAATGCCATCTTTGAGCCCTTAGCACAAGCTACAAGTGACATTCGTTGAAACACGCCGTTAACTTGAATCATGAACTTCCTTTTGTTCTCGCCTCGGCTGCCACGGCACACTCAGCGCCAATGACCAGGCGACGTTCACGGTCAACGAAGCCTCGCGGAGCCGTCTCTGCACACTCGCGACTCGCGACCTGTCAGATCTCGCGCAAGACCATTGAAGACGAGATGCAGCTTTTGTAGCTGCGCCGCAGGTGTCTCACTGCCTCAGCTTCGTCTTAGCACTAGTCAACAACTCCGTAAAAGGTCACTAGTCCACCTGTCCACTCTACACTGAACTTATTGATTTTAGCAGTGCAACCCCGAAAGCGCAGCCAAGCGGTTGTGACAGGAGATGAAACCGCTTCTTCTGACACATCTTGTCATACCATGTCGCCCGCGGCACAACACTCACGCGCGCAATGATAGGCAGTGGTTCAAGGACAACCACGGCGACAGTTTCAATAGTTGCTGTCATGTCAACAATAAATTTGACTTCCAATCGACAGTCTTCGGCCTCGATGGACAGCAGCTGCAGCGACCCACCAGTCGAATTCGCAGACAAGTCCTTTGCAACTGGCTCGGAATTGCTGTACATACGGAACCGCAACAATGTGATGCCTGCATGTTCTACGACGGTTTCCCGGCCCTCACGACTAATGATCTGATCTGCACGTCTCCAACCCACGCATGCGACTTTCTAGATGCTTGTCAACGATTTGATGAAGCGCTGCGGCTTAGTAATCAGCTGCTGCGGCCAGAAGCAGACCCTCAAAAGCACATCAAGCGCCCCAGGTCCTGCGGCCCCAAAGGCAGGAAGAAACGGAGCAGAGGCAGGCCTGCTTTGTCATCGTGTCTCCTAACGTTCTGCGGGACTCCGACTGCTAGGAGCGTACATTTGCCGTGAGGCGAGATGCAGGACTTCCATACACATTTATTCATTGTCTTCACTTGGATGCCTACACATGTCTTGCAGACTCGTTGGCGCCACCAGCAGCAGCACCACAACCACTACCCCAGTTTGGTGCTACAACTGGCTGTGCTCAGTACTACCACCGTGATACTGTCCAACAGTAAGGTTTAAACTTCAATGGTCCTCTGCTTGCATCGATTACGAAATTTCGGATGCCGTGACCGCTCCGACTGCCAACACGACGCGGGCAGCGACGACATCATTATCCTCATCAACAGCACCACCACCGCCGCCACCACAACCAACAACAGCAACAACCAAGAACAACAAGAGCAGCAG